CATTTATATTGAAACATTTAAAATGTCTATAATTATTAGTAACAGCAGCAAACAGCATGTTACAGACGATTCATTCTTTTTATTCCTCACACCCAGAGTGAACGTGAGATACTGTGTTCACAAGGCCAAAACCGTGTTTTGTGAGGTCACTGTGACCTTGACCTTTGATCTTTAGACACCAAAATCTAATCAGTTCATCCTTCAGTCCAGGTGGACATTTATGCCAAATTTGAAGGAGTTCCTTCATGGTGTTAATGAGATATCATGTCCACGGGAATGGGACGGACGTATAGACGGTCTCTGACTGTCGTCGGTGCCGAGGCATGAAACCATCTTATATAAAAACAGCTGCACATTCTCGTCTTGTTGTGTCTTGATGTCCAGATTAACGTCTGCATCTAAAAACCTTTGTTTCCTGTAGCTGACTCTAATTTCCTCCAAAGTCTGGAGGCAGCTCCTGAACGCATCATACACTCCCAGTGGAAACCCCCACAATTAAAAGAAACACTTAGAGTAAAGAGCGCAGCACGGCCCCTCATTACATCTGGAACATATATTTATCTCTGACGAGCTGTAAATGTGAAAGTGTGATCAAATGACGCAGCGTCGCTTCCTGCACTGGTGTACGATGGAAGTGATGCTGCCTCGCTCTTAAAGTTGTGTTTACAGACTGATGTAATGTGGATCACGTGTCCTCAGACGACGCAGGAACACACACTTCCATTTGTGTCCTGTTTTGATAAGTTATAGAAAGATCTTTGAGCTGCTCCGACCTGTGCATGGTAAACCATCAAGAGTCCATCTATTATTCACTTACTGATCAGGCACTTGTGTGGAAAGACATGGTGTTCAGCGGGTATGAGAAGCCGTCTCCAGATGGATTCTCTGAAACAGAGACCTGCAGACGGACAGGTCTTAAAACCATCCACACATATCATATCATTTTACTCATGAGAAATTCATCAGCTCTTTATTTTTGGAGGCATCTGGTTGAAAACGTTTTCTGCATGTCCACAGTTTTAGCAAGACTTCTGGTAGATGTATCTGGCGTTAAAGCAGCTAAATGGAAGTTTTGCTATTGCTATATAGCTAACGTTAGCACTAGCAGCTGTTTACTTTACCAGTCTAGAAGAAACATCTAACGCCTTTCCTTTACTCACCAACAGCTGTCTCCAGAGGTGGAAAACAGCGGCAATGTGCCTAACTCTCAGTTAGCATGCTAATCAGCTAGCCCGTCTCGTCAGTTTCCGATAGCGAGTCACTGAAGCCTCCGGTCCCTCCTGAAGACGTAGCGCTGCTCAGACGACGGATTACAACCTCTTGTCTGGTGAACACAACGACGGCTGAAGCTCTTGTCAAGCAGCAAGAAGCTACGTTCAGCAGCTGAGAAAACTTTAAGAATTAAAACCAGGTAATTACTGTTAAAAAAGGTGATGTAATACAACACAGCAGCATGAAGGTACAGACCTGTTCCCAACAACAGGTCCTCCAACCTGCACCCCTACCATGAGGAGCATCCCCTGAGACGGTGACCCTTTGTCGTCATGGATACAACAATAAACACACGGTTAAGCTCACGGTTTGGTTAGGTTTGTTCCCTTTGTGTTTTCCTCTCACACCTGTGTTCATATCTTTTAGTTTATTTCCTGATGCTGCAGCTCAGGCTGTTCCCACTTCACTCCGACACTGCAGCTGATGAAACCTCACAACCAAGAGCGAAATCCTCCCTCACACTTAGGGAGAGAGACAGAGAGAGAGAGAGAGAGAGTGTGTGTGTGTGTGTGTGTGTGTGTGTGTGTGTGGACGGCTGGAGTTGAGGATAATGTATCCAGTTATGTATAAATACCAAATTTTGACATTTAACTGAACACTGTTTATCTCACCTCAGTCCTTCAGTCATTGTCACATGGTCGTTAAACAGCAGTGTTAATGACAGGTGATAAACCAGGTTCATGATACTAGTTATCCAGGATCACCAGTGGTAGTTTTAGTGAAGCAAGTAAGTGAAGAGATAGTCCAGTTCAGTCCACTTCCTGTCTCACACACACACACACACACACACACACACACACACACAGCGTCCAGCCGACCCGCTGTAGCCTGCTAATTAAGTATGAGCTTGAGCTTGTATTGTCCCTCCTCCAGCCAGGTAAGAGATAACTCACCTGAGACTCACCTGAGACCAGACCCGGTGTCCACATGAGGACTGTGTGTGCTGGTGCTCCCTGTGTGATTGTAGCTAACTGTTGTTAGCCGTGCTGCAAACAGAGATAAGATAATCACACACTGAAGGTCAGAGTGTCACCTCTGTGTGTGGCGGTCCTGAGGATGATCCAGTCCAGGTGAGCAGCTCCAGGATCTTCACAGGTGAGTGCGTCGTGTTGTTTCCCTCCTTCAGGAGGAGGGGCTTCTCCCAGAGAGCCAGGTCCCTCCTGAGGTTTCCTCCTTCTAGTTTCTTAGTGAAACAGAAGTCACCTCCTGCATGACTTCAGTCTACCTTGGCCTGAGGTTGGACTGGGAGTCGTTGTTGCTGCCGAGCAGAGTGAACAATAATTTCATGCGCAGCTCAGCCTGAACAAAGTGAACAGTGATGTCCGACAACGGGCCTCATTCATGCACAGATTGGATTTGTCAGACTCATCAGTGTCTGAATGGTAAGAATGAAATGTTTACTCCTGTGAAGTGACACAGATGTTTGTGAAGGTGTGTGACGAGCTGCAGGCTGGAAACCAGCCAATGAAACACAGGAAGAAACGACCCGTGAAATATTCCAACACAGCGAGTGTTGGTAATGTTTTTATCACGATTCAAAATGGTTTGTTTTCCGCTCACACAAAAACAGCACGGTGATTTTCTTTATCTTAGATCAGGGCCTTAAAAACTACTGTCACATTTAACATGATCTGTAGAACAGACAAATAAAATATATTAATAATATATTAGTATTTTAAACTGTGCAGCCATGTTGTCAGGTGAGTCTTTTATCACTGTAAACACTGGTAAAGGAAGTCGATCTGAATATTAGTGGATAATATTCACATTTGTCACTGTGGTTTAGCTCCAGCTGTTGCTCCAGATGTAGTTTAGCTGTGAGGGAATCTTTCAAACCCAGTGTCATTTAGCTTCTTCCTACACGTTCTTACTTTCCTGTAAAAAAAATTCATTCTAATTTTGATTCGGCTCTTTCACAGCCTTCATATATGTTCTTTAATCTCAGCTCATGTTTCGTGCATATTTCAGGCCGTGCATGAAGCAGCTCAGTCTTTCTGCGTGTTCTTCAGTTTTCCTTATTCAGCAGTTTTTCTTCATTTTTCATCATCTCTTCCTTTTTTTCCTCCATCGCTTCATACGACTTCAACCGCTTCTTCACACAAGTTGAAGCCAGCAACGTAGTTTAGCTTCAGCTTGTGCAGAAGAAGCAATCCCAGTTTAAACGAGCAGTTCAGCGCTCCCCTCCTGCGGTCCAGGACGGCAGCTCTCCAGGAGCTGTACACTTTAGCTCATGGGCACTTCAGCAGATTTTGGTCCATAAACCCACATCCAGCTGAAGGATGTTGTTTCTGCTTCCTGATGGACTCTGTGAATGACAGACATTATGAGCAGAAACAGTAAGGTGTGACAAATTGTGTTTTAAATGGAATCTGCAGTGCACATGGTGCATGGCCGCAGGCGTAACCATAATCATGTTTAGAGCAGGGAGTGTATTTGAGGATGCTGAGTGAATTTAATCTGTTTATTTTATTTTATTTTTTGGTGGGAGTGGGTGTCGTGGAGGGGGTGGTGGGGGTGGTGGATGATTCGAAATGGTCTAATTCAGGAAGCAGCTGTGGAAACAGACAGGACTCAAGTATTGATGTACTGAGTGTGTGTGTGTGTCTGAGTGTGTGTGTGTCTGTGTGTGTATTAGCTCGTGATTTACAGTCCAAATTCTGCTCAGCAAACGTGGCGAGGAAGATGAATATTGCTGAGGAAAGTGATGATATGGAGAGCAAAGCGGAGGAGACGGAGACTGACGGGGAGAGAGCAGGTGCTGTGAAAAAAGTCGACTCACACCAGCAGAGATGGAGGGAAACAGAATTACACACATTCAGATACCAGCTGATAAACACAGACAGATTTTATTTGCTTTCTACAGAGTGCAAACAAGTCAGTGGGGACAGTAATTTGATTTCCCACTGTTTTATTTGCTTTACTGCACACATAGTGGGCTTTTTTCAAATTTATTTAGAAAAGTGGTTACCACTGGTTACAGACGACCACATCTGAGGACAGGCTGCTACAAAAAACTGAGTCCATACACAAGCAGATAGATAAGAGATGGTCAATGTCACGTTGGAGCTTCCAGCACCTCTGTGATGAAGTTCTTTATTTATATTCTTCTAGAAAGACTTAAATATTTGGCCAGAGGAACTCTCCCGTGGTGGAAGTGTCTTTTGGAAAGTAAGAGCTCTCCAGACTTTACATTAAATATACAACACGACAACTCTTATCTTTAACTAGCTCTATCATTATGTCTGCCATGTCTGTTCCCATCTAACTGGCTTCTTGTCTGTTTGTCACACTGTACCCGACCCCAGGGAACCACTGGACTAAACTACCTGTATATAAAGTGGCCCAGTTAAGACTAATGTGGTATTCATACTTTACTTAGATAAAGGATATATGATTCTTCCACCCCTGTTTATCTCTTACAACATATATTACATATGACATTATATTAGGCTATGTTATATATTACATATAATATAAATTTGTTATGATATATTATATATTATATATTTTATTACATATTTAAATGTGTAAAGAAATGCTTGTAAATGATCCATATTGTTTTTGTACTTGCTGCAACTAATAATCTAACCCTACATTAATAAATGAACATAAATATTGTATTTTCCTGATAAACACCAGCGCCATCTTGCGTCCGAGTGCGTACGTTACGTCCCCGACGTATACTTTGGAAGGGGAGGCTCCCGTGACGTCAGCGCGTTTATCCCTGACGTCGTTAGACTCTGAACCCTGTGGACGGCTCCTGCGGGGAAGTTAGCAAACCCGTGATTCAAACACATTTTTCAGCAGAATATCGTGATTCACTGAGGTACGAGAGCGGGAATCATGTTGTTACGTTGTTTACTTTGTCATAAAGCGATTTAACTTCAAGCAGACACTCGTAAATAGCAGCTAAGGGTTTTTTAACATGAGCTATCCTACTTGCTAATCCGTGCATGCACGCCCCCGATACGATTCACGCAGAACTCTATTCTGAATCTGAACATTTTGAATTTCCTGTGCTAATAAACTAAATACAAAGTTTGCTGAGTCTATAAAACATTATTTTACCGGTTCTGGTAGTTTGTTTGTGCAGTTCGGCACAAAGATGGCGCTTCTTGGAGACCGTTATGTGAATGAATAGTCGTTTTTGTATCTGCTTTAAATAGTTGGTGGTATTTTAATCAAAGATTCACCGAGACACCCATGGGGACAGTTTGAACCGTGAACAACCGGCCACGGCTTTTAAACTGCGGAGTTTACTGAAGTTAACTTCCTTTTTGTTTATAATATCTAACTTAGTTACTGGTTTGCAGGAGCTGCAGGTTGACTCCACTAAAGTCAACCAAGTGAACTACTATTTTTACCTGCAGCTGTAATGCGTCCACATGCATGGTCCTGTCAGTGTGCACTCATTTTTAAAACATTAGCACAATGTGTGTGCTCATATTCACTGGTAATAAATCCAGTTTTTATGATTCAAAAAGTGAGTTTTCCGAGTCGTTTAAAACATTACTGACCTATTTATCCACCAGGAGAGACAGTGTCCTGTTTTAACCAGGGCGCTGTTATTTTGTTTGAGTCATTAGTGTGAAATGTAAACACTATGCATTGGTTTGATTAGTTCTCCCATAGGAAAAGAAATAAACCTCCATATCTGCTCTGCTTTTTGTTAAAATTATATGAGTTTCAGCTACTGATCTTTTGCTGCTGTTCTCCACAGATCAAAGATGGCTCTCACACAGGTGTCCTCCAACAAGTGCGCTGGCGGCTTCCAGAAGGTTTTCGAGCACGACAGGTGAGACCAGCGAGTGTGTTTAAAGCTCAAAGGTTGAAGTTTACACACACTTTTTATCACACACACAGACACACACACACACACACACACACACACACACACACACACACCCCTACACACCTGTGGCCTCGGCTTCAGCAAACAGAAGGGATTCTCACATGAGCTAGTGAGAGCTTTGATGTGTGGAGGAGAAAATATAAAGTCATGTATGTCTGTGTTTCCTCCCCGCAGCACCGAGCTGAAGTGTAAGATGAAGTTTGCCGTCTACCTGCCTCCCAAGGCTGAGACTGGGAAATGTCCCGTCATGTACTGGCTCTCTGGTGAGTCTGCAGCCTGATATCAGAGCTGCACAGGCTTCTCTGCTCAGGAATGAGACGCACAACTTCAGAAAGAAATAATAGTGTTTGAAAACAGTGGCTCGGGAGGAATCGGATAACATCAAACTATCAGAGATACGCACACAGTATCCTGTTAGAGGGAGACATTTATTGATGGTTTCAGTCAACAACAAGAAAAATAGAGAATGTTGTGTGTCTTTAATAGATATTTGGGATGTGAGTGTGATGCTGATGCAGTTCACTTCTCAGACCAGTTCCTGGCAGTTTGAACTGAAAAACAGGTCGAATATAAAATATGTTTAACAATGTGATGCAAATGAAGCTGCAGTGAAGTCCCTCACCTGCAAGTTGCTTTGGATAAAAGCGTCTGACAAATGAGTCTATGTAAATGTAAACGGTGTCTGACGAGGGAAAATAAGATGAAGTTATTACGTTTTTAGGGAATCGTTCTTTTATATTTGAAGCAGCGGTGTGTTCGCTCTGTGTCTCTGCAGGTCTGACGTGTACGGAGCAGAACTTCATCACCAAAGCCGGCAGTCAGCTCGCTGCTGCAGAGCACGGCATCATCATCGTAGCTCCCGACACCAGCCCACGTATGAAAACACACACACACACACACACACACACACACTCAAATCAATCACTCTGGCTACTCACACACAATTTATTGAACCCCCCCCTGCAGGCGGCTGTGACATTGAGGGAGAGAACGAGAGCTGGGATTTCGGCACTGGAGCTGGTTTCTATGTTGACGCCACCGAGGACCCCTGGAAGACCAACTACCGCATGTACTCCTACGTCACAGAGGAGGTGCGTCGGATTTCTGTCGCCTGTTTACCCAAAAAACTCAGTTTTCATCTCCACTAATAAACTAATGGAACATTTTCTATGATCTCTCTCTCTCTCTCTCTCTCTCTCTCTCTCTCTCAGCTCCCCAAACTGATCAACGCTAACTTCCCCACCGACCCTGACAGGACGTCCATCAGTGGTCACTCCATGGGCGGCCACGGGGCGCTCATCTGTGCCCTGAAGAATCCTGGGAAATACAAGGTACTGCACGTCACTCTACAACATCTATTAACCAACAACTTGGAGTCTCAGCAATTAATGTCACGTCAGATTTCCATTAAGAAAATAGAAAACTTAAATAGAACAATTTGTCATTTGAGTATTTATTGTGTATTTAAAGACTTAGAGGGACTCCTCAACTTTTCTTTTTGTTTGTTTTTGACAACTTCATGTTTATAAATTTAAATTTTGGAGTCACAAAACAAATAATATGTTCGTTCATCAGGACCTTGAGTCTTTGGTGGACATCTGGTTTTTCTCCTGTTACAATAATAATTCACAGATTCAGACTCTGAACAGTTCCCAGCAGAAAACACTACAACAACTCGGAGGAGGATGATGATGATGATGATGATGATGATGATGATGATGATGATGATGTTGTTGTGGTGCTCTGTCTCCTCCAGGCTGTGTCTGCGTTCGCCCCCATCTGTAACCCGGTGCAGTGCCCCTGGGGGCAGAAAGCCTTCTCAGGATACCTGGGCTCTGACAGATCCACGTGGGAGGTAACAACACCGTTAATAACTGTAGTAACTTACACCTGTTGTTGTATCGCTGCGCTGTATTAACATGTAATAACATATCTATAATAACAACAGCAATAATAATAACAATTCATTATGATAATCAATAATACTGTATAACATCCAGTCATGTCAGTCAGAAAGAAGAACTCACATGACCTGTCACATGACCCTTCAGGCGTACGACGCCACCGTGCTGGCGGCCTCGTACTCCGGCCCTCAGCTCGACATCCTCATCGATCAGGGCCGCGACGACCAGTTCCTGTCGGCCAGTCAGCTGCTGCCCGACAACCTGATCGCCGTCTGCTCCGAGAAGAAGATCCCCGTCGTCTTCAGACTGCAGCCGGTCAGTTCCTTAAGTCCTGTCAAAGTAAAAGCACTGATTCAGTTCAGTTCAACTTTATTTAACCCGTACGGTCCAGTGTTTACAGCTGATCAGAAACACAAACAAACAGAAAGCATGAACACAATAAAAACACGTAACTCATAAATGTACTGTTTGTTATAATCCTTGTTTGTTGCGTTGGTTTTGTCAGTGTAGGTTAATTTAAATTAAATTAAAATGTGAATATTAAAATATAAGTATAATAGACCGTGCTTTTATTTTCTCAACGTAAAGGAAGCTTTTTTTAAACCAAATGCTGCCCCCATGTGGCCACATGAGCAAAGTGCTGTATTTCCTGTCTGTTGAATGTCAGTGGACAGAGAAACCTTCAACAGATTACAGTGAGTTCACAGAGACAGTTTAAAGGACAAGGTCAGACCTAAACATGTTTCTCTTGATGTAATTATTCCTCCTGTTCGTACTGGATATGAAGAGATCCTTTCATAATGTAAATGACATAGGACAGAGTCCACAGTCCTCGTTTTGTGTAAGAAAATATTCTTAAGTTCTTAAGTGAGATAATTATTAAGTCTTAAGTTTTACGATTTTTTAACTGCTGGTTCCAGTTTCTCAAATATGAGGATTTGATGCTTTTCTGTGTCATAGATGATGATAAACTGAAATGTCAGACATCACCTGAGACTGTGGGAAGTTGTTAAACGTTTTGTTTCCTCCTGCAGGGCTACGACCACAGCTACTTCTTCATCTACTCCTTCATGAACGACCACATCAAGCATCACGCCAAGTTCCTCAACGCCTGAGCCGCCACCAAGGAACAAGACTCTTTCTGACACGTCAGTCCATTTCACAATGACCCTGCCGCTCCGCTCTGCTCCCATCAATCACAACCTCTCCAGGCTTTTATTTTGTTGAGTCGAACCATGTCAGCTGGTTAGTCACACTCTGTAATGAAGTGAGTTGGGTCACAGATATTTCAACCCAGTCAGAAGCCTCTGTGCCTTCAGTCTGAACAGCACTTAAGTCTGATATCAGATATCTGAGGAAATGTTGACCTGACGACGCTCGTGTGGATTTTGCTGAGAGACAGTTGAGTCACATTTGTATCTGTCAGAATAAAATCCTCCGTTATTCATGTTTTGGTTTTGTCCTTATTGAAGTTCATCCACCTGCATCGTGAAAACTTGAGCTCTAACACTTTGCCTGCCTCATCACATTACTGGTAAATACCATTTTAAACAGGTTCCACTTCATTATCAAGGAAACATGAAACCTTTTTCACTCTGACAGCTACTGTTACAAAATCAAAGGGGCTGAGAGCTCCTTATGTCTTATGTTCCTGGTCACATTTATTCACATATCGTATCAAAACACTCAAATTGATCTCCAAAACAAATCATCCAAACAATTCATCATCATCAAATATCAAAAACATCTGGAACTCACATCAGACAAAAATCTCCTTAGAAGTCAAGAAAAAGAAGCTCCTCAGTCAGGGATCAGTGATAGTTGTCAGTACATCAATTCTACATAAGAAACAGGGACTTAAAACAGATAATTAAATATTATAATAATTGAATATATAATAATGTGTGTTGTATTTTATTGTACAGCACTTTGGTCAACCCTGGTTGTTTTAAATGTGCTTTATAAATAAACTAGATTTGATTTGATTTGATAATTCAATACACTTAACTTTCCAAAATGTAAACAAACAGGGGATTAGGAACACCCGACAAAATAATGTGGTTCAGTTCAACATCACCTTAAACTACAACCTCACTAATAGAATTAAGTAAGAGAGCAGCTGTTTCCCTCAGGAGCTGGTGTAACTAAGGATTTACCATCACTATGGAAACCGTTATTTAAAAAAAAAAACATTATTATTTTTTTGTTTTTTTAATGCATTCATTCATCTTTAGTAAGTAAGTGATGCAGTTTGAAAGTATCCATCAGACGCTGCTCTGGAAAACCTGGTGCAGCCTGCAGTGACCGGTTCCGTCCAGCAGGTGTCTCTGTTCACCGGAGTTCTTCTGCTGCTGTTTCACATCTGCAAGCATCAGCGCGCAGTCGCAGTGAGTTAACTGCGTTAAGTCAAAAGAAATGGAGTAAGACCGGAAACGTAGCGGCGTGTCTTCAAAATAATATAGGTCATGTAACGGGGTTGAAGGAAACATCTTTTACAGGTGACCAGGTTAAATGGACCCAATTAAAAACTTATACTTTTTTTGAAAAATTATTAGATTTTTTTATTAATTTTTTTGGGATATATTTCTTAGTGTTATCACCAGAGAAAAAACTTAAATATAAAAAAGACTTCTACTCACCAACACAACTGCAGTGCTTGTTCCTGATAATTGTCCCCTTATTTTTGCTGGATTTAGAGCCATTTCTCATCTTATTCATAGACAGTTTTCTAGTTTAATGACGGTTTGCTAGAATAATTTTGAATTATTTAATTGTATGTTTCATTTGTTGAACAGTGAATCCATAAAAACAAACAAAAAGCTGGAAGATAATGCACACATTATTTACAATATTTTATTACATGAGCTTTGTAACATGGCTATTTTTAAATTTAAATATTTATTTTTAAATATGAATATGAAAATCATCTCTGAAAATGACTAAATTGCTTAAAATACTTGAGTTATCCCATTTTCTGCTAGTGGAGTTTCAGATTAATAATACGAAATATAATCAACATATAAATTATATTTATTTTTATTATTTTTTATTTATCATTCTTTTATTATAGATTAAGGTGAGACTTTATTGACTTTATTCGTGTTACTATTTTTACTTAAGTTAAAACAATGAAAGTAATTCAACCCTAGGGAAGGATTTAATAAGCTATATACTGGCAGCTGTTTTATTTTGAAAGTTATACGATCGGATGTCGTACCGCTCTTCACTCCTTGCCGCTTGACTTACCGCGCAGACAGGGAGGCAGACGCGGCGGCGACGACCGAGGAGGAACCTGAACGCGCGGCGCAGCAGCACGCCTGGGAAGTCTGTGTCCTGCTGTTTGCCTGAACGTTAGCCAACGCTCACGGATATAACCGACACACACACACGCGCGCGCGCAGCGGAGAGGGGGAACATTATGGCGACGTTGGGACCGGAGTCGGCTCGCCCTCCTCTTTCCCAGCTCGGTTCTTCTCCGTCGATCCAGACCCACATCGGCAGCGCCAACCTGCCTCCCAACCGGGGCTTGGAGCGGGCGCTGGAGGAGGCTGCGGCCAGCGGCGTCCTCAACATCAGCTCCCGGAAACTGAAGGAGTTTCCCCGGACAGCGGCCAACCACGACCTGACGGACACGGTGGAGGCAGGTAAGGGACCTCTCCGGCATCTTTTCCTGGTTACCTCTCAAAAACAGAAACCGGTAACGGCTCGGTTGTAACGCGTTACAGCGGCGTGGATCCTGAGTGACCGTTGTACTTTATTTATAGTGCTGGCATTTCCGTTACCAACTGAAAATCCACAGTGTGTGTGTGTGTTTGTGTGTTTGTGTGTGTGTGTGTGTGTGTGTGTGTGTGTGTGTTTATCCATTTATCCCAACTCCTCCATTAGCTGTATTAAGTATAATTGGCGGACAGTTAATTGGTCATCTGAGATTTAAATCTCGTTGTAAACACATGACAGACACTCGTGGGTAAAGTCCTGCAGTTTCCAGCTCGCCGTGAACGTGTGTTTATGCAGGGCTGCAGTGAAAGTGGGTATCGGAGTGTTTATCATGGACCTAACTGTTCAGTGGGCCTGCAGTGGAATTCCCCACCACTTCCTTTTTAATCCATTTAGAGATGTAAACAGGCACATGGAGGGCAGGCAGAGCGGGGCGAGCCCGGACACACTCGGTCTGAGCTGCTGGATCTGCAGGAATATGATTAATGTGACTGTTTAGAATCAAAACAAACAGTTAACATGACAGTCACTGGTGTAAGGTGTGTCTCTGTGTGATAAAAACCTGATATGAATGTGTTTCTGGAAGTGCAGGTTCTGGTTTATATCAGTGGCTGGTGTTGGCCCGGCTCCCGGTGACAGTGTGGTGCATCAATATTCTGTTGAAGTCTATGAAACTGCAGCGGAGGAGCGTTGGATTCAGGTGCTCACTCGTGCATCAGTGTTGTGTTATGTTGAGGGAAGGTCCTGAGTTTGAATCAGTGTGCAAGGCCGTGTGTCGTCTGTGCGTTTGTGTTTCTTTCCTGCAGCTGCTCTGGTTTCCTGTCGCCATCCAAACACAGGCAGGTCAGGTGAACTTGAAGAGCACTGTCTCACCTGGAGCTCGGTTCAGTTTGTTTGGAACAAATGATCCACGGTTGGTTTCCAGTTCTGCTGCAGTTCATGTCAGCATAGTCTCTTTATAAATGAGGGGTTACAAAGGGGAGGATCAACAACACACCTACTCCCACACCTGGAGCTACGGGGGCAAGGAGCCACAGGATAACAGGGGGGGGGGAACATCCGTGAAAGGTGGTGGACTGCGGCTGATGACAGAGCAGGTTCAACACCTACCTGTTCAAGTCAGTCAGGAGGAGTAAACATGAAGTCATAATGACTGACATGTCATTGACTGACAGCAGCTCATGCAGCTCTTTACCTCCTGCTGTGATCAGAAGCATCATCAGTGAAGACTGCAGCTGGACCTCATACTGTATTTTACATTTACAGGCATGTTTCACTCGCTGTATATGAAGGACCTGCTATAACACAGGAGCAAGGTGTTTAAGTATCATTTGCATCAGAGCTGCAACGATTAATCGACAGGAAAATAATTAGTCACTTTTTTCATAATCAACCAAGTGTTGCTGCTTTCTGCCTCTAATATATTAAGATTCTTTATTTTCTATAATTGCATATTGAACATCTTCTGGTTTGGACTGTTGGCTGGATACGACGAAGCATCTGAAGACGTTTCCTTGGACTTTGAAAAAAAAAAAGAAGAATAAAACATTTTTATAAACCAAACAATTAGTCAGTTAATTGAGAAAGTGATCAGCAGATTGATCGATAACCCACATGGGCATTAATGAGAGTGAGTGTGTGTCAGCTAACTGGTTACCTGTCCAGGTGCTCTCCTCCTCTCCCCCGTGACTGTGGATGAAATGATGGATGGATGAGAAGAGAAGTTCTTGGTGAATCTTTAGGAGTATTTTGAGAGAACTGCGACATTTCTCAGGACTTTAATTTTGGCGAGGAGGTCGAGCAGATGCCGCCTCCCCCTTCTGAGAAGAGAAAACCTTGATAACGTGAGCTCAGAGCGGGTCAGTGATTCTGACCGTGACAAAAAGAGGAATAACTCCCTCAGTGCAGCACTGATTCATCTCAGCTGGCAGTGTTTTGATCACATTACAGGATGTGTGTGTGTTTTCAGACGGTGAGTCAGTGGGACCACAGTGCAGTATGTAGAGCACAGGTGTGTGTGGCGGTGAGCGGTCCTTATCTCCCTGACCCTCACATGAGGCAGCTGTGTCGTCAGCAGTCTCCTCCAGTATCACAGAGGATCCAGAGACACAGATTAAACTTACGATAATTGACTTTGATGAGCAGTAAATCAGCGATGACTTAACTATTTAAAGGGCTAGTTCATCCCAATCTCAAAAATGCATATTTCCCGCTTCGTTTAGAGACGTGTCTCTGAGACGATGTCGCTGTGGAAAGTTTTTATAAGACCAGGGACCAGATTCATAAAACTCTGTGATTCACAACTAAAACTATGACAAAGCACAAAACCAGAGACACTCATACACATTCTTTCCATCAGAAAATTTCACTGATTGTGAAACTAAAATAAAAACCTGCATCAGCGTCCAAAAAAGAGAAAAAGAAATTACTCTGAACTTCATTTATTGGGACTACAGCGTCTTAACGGGGCTCCAGACAGGCTCTAAACTGTGATTAGTAAATATTAAAACAGTATGAAACAGTTTACAGGATGACTCACAATAAATAATAAGGACATTAAACACAACACAAACACAATTATTTCTGTTTATGAATCGTTAAATTGTTATAGCTGTGTAAACGGTAAAACTTATAATGATGATAATGAATGAAGCTCTGTGAAGCTCGTTATTTTATTTTATGTTACTCGACGTATTTTGTGTTTTCACTTCACTGTAACTTGGATCTCTTTGGAAAACTGTGTGTTCACATGGTCAGAGGAAGGAGGTGACACGGGCTGTTGTTTCTAAAGACCAGTTTGTGAGCGGGAAACGGCGTACGCGTCATTTATGCATCTGGTGCGTCTGTGAGGAATGAAAACTGTAGCCGGTGAGTTCTGTTAATGATCCAGAGCAACAGGAACACTGTGGTTGCAGTTGCTTAAATGTTGTCTGACAGACACACGTCAAAGTGAAACCGTATCATGTAGCTACACCTCACTCTGACTTTGTTCATGGACGTCACATAATGACATGCACAGAAACACACACACACACAGCAGTAAAGTGAGTGTGTTTCAGTTTTAACAGCTTCACTGAGGCAGCATTCACCTGTACTGTGACAGGTAGCAGCGGCATGTTGCTGTGCTGTTTGGGATCATTGTACGTTTGTCTTTCATGATAATTGAACCCGTTGATTTGTTTGTTTTTTTTTATTCTATAAATTGCCAGAAAATAGTGAAAAATGTTCATGATAATTTCCCACAGTCAAAGGTGATTTCTTCAAGTGACTTCTTTGGTCCGACCAGCTGTTTAAAACCTGAATATTCAGTTTTCTGTTTTGTAGAACAGAAAAGCAGCAATCCTGATATTAGAGAACAGAAACTGTTTTTTACGTCTGTCTTTCAACTCATCGCTTAAAGCTCCATATTTTCTTCTTCTTCTCTTGTGTTTTATTTGAAGTGTTGATCCGTAAGAAGATATATTTAGAACCAAAAACCATCTCAGTGTAGTTTCACATCTCCTCTCTCAGGCTTCTCTCTGCAGCTCTAGTAACAACAGGTCGGTGAGCCAATCAGAAGAGAGGAGGCTCTGAGCCTCGCTTCTGATTGGCTGACTGTTTTCTGACTGATCCAATAAAAATATATCAGATTTCAGGTAAAAACACTCAGAGAAACCAAATCCTGCAAGGTTTGGATGGTGGGTCCAGGTGGGCGGGGCTTGGTGACTGCTTTGTTGTGACATCACAAAGTTCCAGAAGTCCTGACGGCTGGTTTTAAGGCTCAGTTTCTGAATACAGGCTGTGTGCATTTCTCTGTGGACTGAGGCTTTGATACTTTCACAGTATTAATATAGAAGCTAGAGCTGATCTATAATCACACTACACATGGACACAGACCTTTATACTGGGTGGAGCTTTAAATCATTAACTGCCTTAATGACAGGATGCTTCTTAACCAGCTCAGCATGAACAGCAGGAGCTTTCTACATTAACATCGTCAGTGTTCGTTTAATATCTCACTGAATTAAAAACAGAGATTTTCAGGGTGATTAAGCTTCATACTGTTTAGATGAGTTTAAGTGCTGTCGTGTCAGCTCGTTAACCATGGCAGTAAACTGATGGTAGTAAACAGTTGTGTGTCGATGATGGACTCGTCTCTGAGGACACGAGAGCTGTGATCAACCTCCACGAGACGAGAAAGAACAGAGCGAGTCACTGTGATAGATGAACGCACACACACACACACACACACACACACACACACACACACACACACACACACACACACACACACACACACACACTTACACACACTGAAATGTGCTGAAGTTGGTCAGTTACACCAAATGCATGCACACGTACTTACCCACATTTGAAAATGCAAACACAAACACACATACCCACACAAAAAAACACACACACACACACACACACACACACACACACACACACACACACACACACACACACACACACACAGATGCACGCTGTGGTTCAGCCTGGTTTCATATCAGCAGCCACACAAGCCTCAGCTTGTAGTGAAACACAAACTGGAGCTGGTTTCTTTAAACCTTCCTCCTCTGACACTTTCATGTACCTGAGTTAAGCTGGAGAAGAAGCTGATTCATGTGACCTGTTGTTTGACCACAGGAGTGGGGGAGTCGGGGGGGGTGGGGTGGGGTGGGGGGTGGGGGGGTGATGGAGCACATTCTCAGACAGTCTCCTGGAAGACGACGTGCTCAGTTGTTCACAGGAAAAGTGATAAATGTGTTTTTAAAGAATGAGAAACACGAGCTTGGAGAGGGGTCGACACCTTCCACACAGCTGACCAATCATCGCCTGAGGTGGGCGGGAACGTCAGATTGTAAAATAGAAAACAACAGACTCCTGATGAGATCGACCGGCCCCGACATGTTGGGGAATAATCTTATTCGCCTTCTTCCCCAGA